TTTAGTAATAAGTTTAAAGGATAATTAATTTACTTATTAATATAACTAAACTATAAGTATTTATTATAGTAATTATAGAGGATATATTTTTTAATTCTTTTATAATAAGTCTTTAAAATAATAATATTACTCTAATTATCTAAAAGTATCTTATTAATATTAGCTATATCTAGTTAGTATTTAAAGGATAGTAAAATTTCTAAAACCCCTATATATCTATAAGTAGAGCTATAGTAGTAATTATTTAGTCTTAATATAGTAAAAGATATTATTAGTAAACCTAACTTTCTACTACTTATAGTAATAAAAACTACTATAAAAACTAAAAATAGTCTACTATTATAACTACTAAAGAGGAATATAAAGAAGAAGCCTATAAGTAGTATATTAAATCTACTAAAAAAATAGAAAGTATAAAAAGTACTATAAAAAGATATTATTATTAAGAAAAAATATTTATACTACTACTAACTAAGAAATAAGTTTAAATATATTTTAAATTAGCCTCCCTTAGAGTTAACCTTTATAGTATAAGTACTTTAAGAAATAAAGAAGTAGTAGAGAATAATAGATAATATAATTTAGAAGTAGCTATTTTTTTAGCTTATAAGAGAAATATTATAATCTATATATCTAGATCTATATTTTTAGTTAGAAGCTATAAAAACTTTATAAATAATTACTAAATTATATCTTATTACTATATTTAAAAGTATATAATTATTATTAGCTAAAAATACCCCTATTTATATACTAAATAAGTATAAACCTCTATACTATTTATATAAAGTAAATTATACTCTAGAAGAAAAATATAGACCTAATTAAATAGTTAGTTAGATATATAGGTTTATAAGAGATATAGATATAGAGGTAGAGATAGATAAATTCTATTCTAATTTACTATAGAAGATTATTATAATAAGTTATTATAATAAGTTATTATAATAAGTTATTATAATAAGTTATTATAATAGCTTATTATATTATAATATTATAATATATTATCACTATATAGAATAAACTTACTAATACTCTAATTATATTTTAACTTTTAAGAAACTAAGGTTTTTAATACTATATACTAGATCTATATTAATATATACTACTATTTATCTAGATATCTATATATCCTCTTAATCTAAATACTTACCCTCTTTATTTTTATTCTCTTTATCCTCTTTATCCTCTCTAATAAACTTTATATCTATTCTATAATTAAAAAGGAAAATAAAAATAGTAAATTTATCTAATATATTAA